GGGTGTTTTATGTTTTTTTTTTGTTTTTTTTTGGTTGGGGGGGGGGGGGGGGTCGTGAACACGGGGTACAAGTTAGTAGAAACTCAACTCAACTTTATTTATACAGCGAGCGATCCTTCATTTGCACAAACGAGGTCACAGTATGCCTAGCGAGGCGCTAGCTAATGTGCTAGTTCGCGAGATGCTAACAATGACAAATGCGATTTATGTGAACTAAAATGTGAAATAAAATCAAATTGTCAGATGTAACCAGAAGTAATTGTACTGCGCATATTTATTTATTTTCCCCTACATTTTTATCGAAAATCATATACTTTTTAAACGTTTTTTTCATGACTTTTGATGTATTTATTTAATTTTGGCACACAAAAATTGCTCTTATCACGATGCATGAATGGTACATTATATAAATACAAAGCCAATTTTACAAATTAAGAAATAAAAATTGGCTTAAAAAACATGAGAAATAGTTTATATGAAATTAAATGAAATTTCAAGATAACGGCCTTATGTACAAGGATTTTCAACAAAACAACAACAAAAAAGTGTTAATATTGTGATTTTCCTGTGCCTTCTGTGAGGTCAGAGTATTTCCTTTTCCAAAAACAAACTGTGAACTTCTTTGAGTCCTCAATCACTTTTTTTTCTCATTTAGCTTCACATTGTGTGACATTGAGCTTGATATCTCCAGCTTCGGCTGTGCGCGCGTGGGCTCTTTTCGTGTATATGTGTCAAAGAAAAGAGGGCAAAAGGCCATAGTTGGACAGTTCAGGGAATTTACAACTGCTTGTTGAGCGCCAGGTGACAAGCTAGTGCTTCGGCTTGTTAGCTTCGCTTAGCACAACTTTTTTCCCGCAAAAACAATATGTCGCGCTATCACTTTGTTTAAAACCTTTTACAAGCACCTCAAAAGCTACTGAGCTAATTTATGGGTAAATTAGCACAAACGGAGCTAGGCTAGGCTATGCCGAGTTCAGCTAAGGTAACAGGCTTCTTTACAATGGGCACTGGTCTTGGATAGAAAGCAATTGAGAACATTTTTCAACTGAATATTAAAAGTGTCGGAAGTATTTTTGTGTGTGTTTTACGAACTGTGAGTTTTTGTTTATTGCCAATGCATTTTTGAATGTACAGTTGTCGCTCAGCTGCTCTTCTATGATGCTTGCTATGAATCCACATGGTGTTTTATCATTTATATATATATATATACAGTAGTATTATTGTGTATTTCATTTTCATATTTTTTTTATCTCTTGACTGAGTACTGCAGTGTTACGACTGCATTTTGAACGCTTGAGTTAGCAAGCGTGTGATCGTAAAATGAATGCTAGTGTCTGTAGTGACATGCATATAAGAAAAGTAAATGTATATATGAAAAAAAAAGCGATATTTGTTCATCCAGCTTCCCGTGTCGTAAAAAAAAGTGAGGTCCAACGTTCACATCCATGTTGTGTACATTTGATGGCTCAATAAATATGTGCAAAATTGTCATACCTGATTGGTAGTTGTTGGTTTATTTTATTGCAGTTGTATTTTTTTTTAATTAAAAGTCTATTTTAGTGTATTTTTTTTTAAATTAAAAAGTTAAAACATTTTGAACGTTAAAAATACACGTTTTTTGTACTTCACATTACTTGTAATGTTGTGTTATGTTCTGCATTCCTTGAATGCCCAGAAAGGTGCGTCTAATTGTTAATCGTATTGAAAGAGAAATAAGAGTCACATGTATTTTACTGTTTCAAAATACACATCGGTTATTTCTCACGCATTATGAATTTTCATTCATTACTGCGCTTTTTTATCACATCATTTACATAAATCTCCTTTATCCACAGCAACAGTGAAAATACAATATATTTCATAGAAAATATCAAGTAAAATACTGTGTGACAATATGCAAGTGTGGACTGATACAAAGTGCTGAGTGATACTGTACATTAATGCTAAAACCAGAAGACAAAACACAATTTCCACACTTGGTTTAAAATATAAAAACCCCAATTTTAATGAAGTCCATTCATCGCGGGCGTGCTGGAGACGATCCGTTTGGGGCAATAGCCGGAGTAAAGCTAAATAATCACTTTGAATGTGAAATATCATGTCTTCATAGTCCCACCTTCAATTTTATTGGGGTTTGTGCAATACGACACTGGAATATTGTCATCATAAATGCTCAGTCTAACCATGGTGATGCCATTTTTAATTTGGTAACGCGCTACGTGAAAATTAAATAATGTTGACAAAAGGGAACAGCAGAGAAGGCAGACAGTACAAAAAAACATATAAAGCCAAAATGTACAAAAAAAAATACAGATGAGTTAACCCATTAAAACAAAAAAATGAATTGCCCATTGATGAATTAAATTGTGAACTGTAATTTGAAATAATTGTATTTTTTTTCACTGTCTTTTAAAACTATTCTAGAGGTTCAGAACTTTTCACAAATCACAACCATCGATCATTACCCACATGGATCTGTTATTTTTACAATTATTTAACAATCTAAAGCGGTGAAAATGACATATAGTTAATATTTAAAATATTTGATTAAATTGTGAAATAAAATCTGAATCAGCTCAGATTATTTTTTTCATTAGCTTTTTTTTTTTTTAATTTGTTTAAATTTCCTAAGGCCCAACATAAAACACTTTTCACACATGGCATAAACACAAACACTCACACAGGAGGTGCTCTCAAAAGGCTCAGTGCAGCACAGAACAAGTCAATCCACCTTCTTGTTCTCACAACCCAAAATGTGGATTTGAATGTCCATTCAGTGTTTGCTTACGGTCATACAGTAGAGATGTTGCCGGTGGAGGGGGGCCGCTGCAGCCCCGCGTGTGCTCCAACACTAAACTGACTGATGCTTCGCTTGGCTGGCATACGCTGACTTTGGTTGTGACATTTCCAAAGCCACCTCCGCAACTCCGCCTGCACCTGGGAAGCAACCGAATTTCTTGCTGTGTACTACTGTATTATCTTTAATTGAACCACAAAAACATGGTGCGGTTGTCAAGCAAGAACTGGATCCCCACAAAGAAAAGATATTTTGAGAGGCCGTTTGTAATGATCACTGACTGCATATCGGAGGGCTAGGGCTCTATGTTTTGTTTTTTCATTAGGACACCCGGGAAATTATTTTAAATTGTGGGGAAAAATACATTAAGTGTTCTTTAAAATGGTTGAACACAACTGGCTTACCTCTCCATTCATGAAACAGTAAAGCAGAGCAACCACAAAGCCCTGAAAAAAGCAACAGACTGCATGTTTGAAACCAGAATAAAATGGCAGTCCTAACATTGTTTTATGAAACCAAAAAAAAAAATGTCTGCTGGTGTGTTTGAGGAGCTGGTGGTACCTGGAAGGATCCGAGGCCCAACTCGATGTAGAGCCGGGCTGCCACACCCGTGTTCTCGGGCAGGAAGGCAAACACAGTGTAGTGCATCCCAAACAGAGGGATGAGGAAGAGCGTGGATTTCGCCAGCTTTCTGAGGAAGAAAACAAAAGTTCACACGGGAGATGATAAGACAACACCACAACATTCCAGTCATTAAAGGCATCCTTTTATTTGAAATGGCAAGGGAGACTCACATGCAAATTTACAATCAGTGGATTAAATGTCATGAGACAAAACAGTAACTCAGTGCCCTGAGAGTTGAGTTGAAATCAGAAATGAATATACATATATATGTAGATAGATGGATGGATGAATTACGTGTCTAGCTTTAGCCGACAGCGCCAAACTTCACTGTCATAATCGGCTGAGTTAAACAACAAAAACATTTTTTATTGCAAATACTGACACATCGAACAACTAAACGGTGGGTTAATTCGAATGCAAATAGCTTTTATTTATTTATTTATTTTAATGAGGTTTTCCAAAATAAAGCTATCGTGAAAGTAAAAAAAAAATACCCAATGCATTCAGTTCATAAATTTGACTTTAATATTGGTTAATAGAAACACATTTGCAGACAATTTTAGATGAGTTCGCTCGTTGTATTTTAGCATGCCAACATGTTAGCATTTGATCAATTGTTATTATTTTAGTACTATAATCCAATGGTGACAGTTTCATCCATCCATCCATTTTCTAAACAGCTTTATCCTCACAAGGGTCGTGGGGCATCGTGGAGCCTATCCCAGCTGTCTTCGGGCAGTAGGCGGGGGACACCCTGAACCAGTTGCCAGCCAATTGCAGGGCACACAGAGACGAACAACCATCACCAGCGCTCACACTCACGCCTAAGGACAATTTCAAGTGTTCAATCAGCCTGCCATGCATTTTTTGGAACGTGGGAGGAAACTGGAGTACCCGGAGAAAACCCATTTAGCCACAGGGAGAACATGCAAACTCCACATAGGCCGGAGCCCGGATCGAACCCACAACGTCTACACTGTGAGGAAGACGTGCTAACCACTGGACCATTGACCGTCAGCTGACAGCTTGACCAGGAAAATATGCGGTATGTCTGAGAGCCATGTGGAACATTTGGTTAAATTATATATTTAGCTATTTGTTCACCATTGAATAATTTGAATCGACCAGGTGCAAGCTGTTTGGCTTGTATATGATGTTTTATTTTCTTGCTATTTTACTTACAGTAGATTTATTAAGAATATTAAGGTATCTGGGCTCCATTAGTTGTCCTGCCTTTAACCTGTTAAAAAGCTAGGGTAGATGCCGGTGACGTAAGCATCTTTAGGAAGACAGTCGGGCCTGGAGCAACACATTTTCTGACCGTGCCACCTGTTACGTGGATAGTGTAATGTATTATAGTGTTAATGGGCTGACGTTACACTACTTTGTCATTTTTTTTGTAACGCCTTAATACTTTGTGTTCAAGAGGAAATAAAGCGAAGCCCTTTTTTTTTTTTGTCGTCGTCGTTGCTGAACGGAAAAGCCCGTCGAAGAAAGGCACGAGTCGGGAACCTTCATGCCCTGCTGACGTAGTGACAAAAAGACAGTAAGTTGCCGCTGTAGTATGTTTCAACGATTTCTTATTTTTGTGAGTTGACTTACAGTACATTTACATCAACTTCATGTTACGTAGTTAATGATATCGTTGCTTTTATGACGGGGCTGTTGTGAACCTTAGCATGATTTCAATTGTTATTATCTTTTATGCAAACGTTTATATGTAGTTTAAAACATTTTTTTAATGACTTGTTAGTCACAAACTCCTGCCATACTACCAAAAGTTGTTTTCTCTCAAGCCAGTATATCACACCTAATATTTGTATTACCGGTACTAAAATTTATCGATTTATTTATTTAATGTGTGGACACTTTGAAAAATCCCGTTGGGTAACAAAGCTATTTCTGGTATCGTGTGCTATTTTTAAGGTCTTCCCGTCTAAATTAATTCAGTTGAACACTAATCAAGTAGAAATATTATCCAGTCCAGGTCCTGTATGACACTTTTTCCCCTTACTTTATTTTAAATAATAATCACTCTATATATGTTCGGGTCAAAAGGCATTAGCAGGAAGCATTAAATAAATCTAATTTCTCAGCTAAGTACTCTTAAATAGCTCTAATAAACGGCATCAAGGTCAAACGTGATGATACGTTTTGACAGTCATTTTTTGAGGGTACAACCTTGGCGAAGGTTTGCCTTGCTGCCGGAGATCACAGACTTGATTTCCAAAGTCAAATTCAATCAGTCCAAAGTTGAAAGAAGCCTCAGGAAGATGCTCACTCCTCCAGGTTATGACTCTTGCCAGTTTATGAACCTCATTCCCGAGTCAAAAGCAATATTCCCACATCAAAACCTCTTTTAATATTTCATCCTCCGCGACTCACATAAAATGTCCAGTGTCGTTGTTCCCAGATATGGCGGAAGATTTGAGCTTCTGGACGAGGATGCGGATCACGTTGATGAAGATGACGATGTTGACCTGTTAGATATGACAGCGGTGTCTTAGCGCGAGCCATCCATTCACAGTCTTTGGACATGAAACAAACAAAAGCCACAAACCAGCAACGTCGCTGTGATTGGACCTTTGATGATCCACCAAATGCCAACGTTGTCAGTGTCATCCCAGCAACTAGTCACGTATGAAAGAAATGGACTAATCATTTTGTTTGTTTGTCGTGACATGACCCGATGCAACAACATACGGTAGTGTATACTGTAAATCTTACCCTTTGTCATCATAGAAGAATCTCATGAGCACCCAGGCGATGAGAATAGTCGATGGGAGGCCTGTGAGGAAGTAAACAAGCAGTGATGAGAGGAGACTGTGTGGAATTTTCAACAACAACCAAAAGGGAGGCAGTAGGTCACCAGTGCATCCAATGAAATTCAATTATAATAATACACCTTGCTTCGCTTTTTTTTTCCATTTTATTTTTCATTTATAACATTTTAATAACCCATTTAATTTATAATCCAATAGATAAATCAATCGAAGCAATCTGAAGGAAAGTCACACAAGCAACCATATATTTTTTTAAATTAAATTAACATTTTAAGATTTGAATTTGGACTTAAAAATACCAAATACATTTGAATAATAATACAGGGATTGGGATGCGTCGGCATGTTCGGCATCCCCCCCCCCAAAAAAAGGAAATCTGAGAATGTGAATCCGTGGGTGCTGAACAACCACTAATGCAGGGTCTGTCTGTGGTTTTATCACCATTCGCCACTAGATGGCAGACATGTCTTCGATGCGCTTACACTGGGTCTTTTACTGCCCTATAACGTGTATGCCTAATTTTATTTATTTATTTTTTTGCAGACTTGAGATGAGATGCAGGTCAAACATCGTAATTCAATAGAATTGCAATTTTCAGTAAGTTTATTTTTGTAAAAATATGCACAATGAGTTCTTGCACGTTGCTGTTCTGCAGTTTTGTGTCATCCTTGAATGGTTATTTGTGCGCAACATAAAAAAATATATCACAGTCTGTCAATATTTTGTTGTTAGCTTCAAACCTTTTCTTGTTAGGCGAGGATAGTGGATATGCATTGCAACATGGACAATCAAAATTTAAATATGTTAAGAGCACATACTCTGCATGTGTTTTGTCCATATTTAGAATAGCAGTTTCGTCATACATCCGGTTAGGCAGTGCAGTAGTAGTAAAATATACTGTGATGATGACATTGAAGGCTCGAAATTCTTGTGTGCGTTCTGAATACAAAGTGATATGAGTCAATCTTCCCAAACTGCAACTTTAATTCGCCAATCTGAAAAAAATTGCTTCTTTCCTCGTCCTTCACCCACATGGCAAGATAAGGATGGCTCTCGACACCTTAATTAACACCAAACGCACCGACTTACCCCATCCAATCACGATGTACCACCAGAAGTACTTCCTCTGGGAGACGAAGGTGAGCGCCAGCAGGGTCTGCAGATACATGCCCTCCACCAGCAGCCAAAAGTAATTGGCCAGGATGCTGAACTGGAAGAACGCCACGGCCGACTTGCACGCCGTCTGACGGGGAACAACAGGTCCGTCCGTTTTTTGTTTTTTTTTATTTTAAGTGAACTTCTTCACACACTTGACGTCTCTCAGGTGACGGCTCACCGTGGACACGGAGCAGTGGTCCAGCGTCTCGTCGGCGAACAGCACCGTGTCTTTGACGAAGACGGCGCTGGCCCTCAGGATGAACGAGGAGAAAAGGTTGACGTGGATGTAGTTCCTGGTGCAGCGGAACTTCCTGAGAAGAGAGGGGAAAAAAAAAAAATCAACCGGTTGATCAGGAGTTCTAAACGTACGCCTTTCAAGAAAGAGGAGAAAATAACCCTTTCGGGGACAGCGGTTACTACTCACTAAATTTTTTTTATTTTACCTGAAAGCGGTGAACAGCACGACGGCAGTTATGAGCGAGATGAGCGATGTGGCGTAGCCCACGGTGTACACTTGTCTGAAAGTGGACAGATAACTGGTCTGCAGTCAGGGAAACAAAGCACAGAGCAGCCTTGTTAATATATTGTGGGATAAGAATTGTGAGTGATTCCAACTAACCTCTGATTCGGGTCCACTGTCGTCGCTAAAAGCACACACTTCCTGGTAGGGCGGATAAATGTCCGACCAGCCGTCTGCTGTACAGTTTCTGTAAACGAATCCTTACCACGCAGGCAAAGAGAACGCGAGGATGTTTTAATGGTCAACAACAAAGTGCAAAAGCTTATTTTGGAACCCAGCAGTAGCCCAATACAGATTCCAAGGTGTACTTTGAGCATTTCCAACTGACCTCGACCTCTGGAGAAATGCTGAAAGATGCCAGAGCACGACAGGTTGACCACCTGACCCACGTCGGCTCTCAACCAGCATCCAATCTGGTCCCACTCCGTCTGGCATCCTGGAAGCAGCCACACAAGGCTTTTGTTCAAACAAAATCAGTCATTTGATCTTTTGTCCGTTGTTGCCCACCAAAAAGTAGGTCAATATCATTGAATCCAATTTGTATGACCTACATCAAACCCTAACGCAATGCCAAAACAAAACCCAAATCCTGGCCTTAAGAAAAGTAATCATTATTTATTTTTCGAAAAAATGCTTAATTTTAATTTAATTCGAATTAGTTTTGGTGTTAGTTTTATTTTTTTTAATACATTGAGTATTTCTTGTATGCATGATTAAAAAACAAACAAGCAAACAGTAAGTTTTGTGTAAGAAAGTAAAGTACAATTCTTAAACAACTGACCTTCCTTCTTCTGCTGTACAGCAATTCACAATTAAAACAAACCCCGAAAGTTCACGGATGATATTAATTGACAAAAACTAGAAGGAAGTACAGTTTTACTATAATTATGGTCAGTTTTGTAAATGTACAATTTAGTTTTCGAAAATCATTTCTTGTTTGTTCACAAAAAAGGTTTTTGTCAATTTTAGTTTCCGTTTTCTCGTTAGTTTTCATGATTTATAATTTTGGTTGGACCATTATTCGACCCCTCCCTACTGTGTCAACAAAAAAATGTCAGAACATAGTGTTTGATGATATTTTTCTTTATTTACATAAATAGTTCAGTCATTCATTGCTAGCCTAATGTGGGTTTCTTTCCCCAACAAATCAGAATAATGTACGCTGTTTTTTTTTTGTTTTTTACATACGTGCATATATAACATTTGTAACTTGAATATGTTATACATTGAGGGTTATTTAACACGAAGGATTAGTTGTATGTATTTTACATGTGGTTATAATTATACTTTGCTTACGATGCTGATGTAGCCTTCTGTGAAAAATGAGTTTGACAGCCCTGGCCTAGCCCAAACCCTTTCTCTCCATATTCCATATAATCACTGTACCTCCTCTCGATCAGCCATAAACCCCCTTAAATATTTTTGGACATTTGTCTTGGGTTCATCAAACAACCTGACGGGTTGCATCCGACAAAGCGGCTAAAAAGAGTCCATCCCTCATTCTCCTTTCTAAAAGTGTCTCGCTCGGCCGTTGCTTCCTGTCACACGGTGCAGCAATTTTTTTTTTTTCCACGGCACTGTCTTACATTTCAGTCTCTTACATAACAGTCGTCATCCAGGACGAGCGCCGAGCAGACAAGGTGAAGGTAAACAAGTCAAGACGAGTCGGAACTTCGCGAGAGCTCACAATGAGAAGATGACAAAACGTACAGTGACTAATATTAGAATAATAGAAATAACGGGGGAGGGGATGTGTCAGTCATAATGCTCCTGGCTGATGTGACAGCAAAATAAATGTCAAATATATTCAACGCAGGAGAAAGTTGCGCTTAAAAAAAAAAAAAAAGCAACTGCTGGAAGGATTTTCTTATTTCACAAAAAAAAAACAAAAAAAAACGCAAACCTGTTCTCACGCATGTTCTGCCAGGAGGCGGGGTTTGTTGCCTCGCAAATCAAGAACCCATGAGTACTGTACATGAATTCAATCAGAAAATATCATTTAGGTAACCTTAGCATTAAAGACAATACTGTAATGCTCAGACATAAAATGATAATAATTAACAATTCAACAAAAGCTGACACTTCGATTGATTTTCCCAACCCCAAATGTTGGAAGCAGAGTCTCATTTTTTCATGACATCTCCTTCAAACGTTCAGGGAGTATTTCTCGATGTCTTACCTAGAGGCTGATTAGATTATAAAGGCATTACTATCCACAATGCTGAGCAGTAACTTGTCTTGTTCATTTCGAACACCGTCCCATAGATCTATTTGCCTCCATTCGCGTGTGTTTTAAGTGAATACGTGACGTCACCTCAATGTGGGACCTGAAGCGGACGATAATGCGCACGGAATCAAGTCTCCTCCGAGGCTTCCTGTCAAAAAGGGCACGTCAAGGATGTGCAATTCATTTCAGAAACACGTTTTAGATTTAATGTCACATTTGACGGGTACGTGTGTAAATATGTCATCTGGATGTGTCGGTGCAGCAAAATGAATTGTGCTGCACACACGAGACACTTTTTAAGATGCACGCCACATACTCTTTCATTGCCCACGTCAGCAGGCAATGTTTTCAACAGCGTGGGTTGCTTTGTGTACAACTTCCTGTTTGCCGATTTTTGATGTATCAACCTAGATTTTTTTTTTAATGATGGGGAGCTATGAATATTCTGAGTGTTCCTATCCCATTTCCATGAAAATAGATAATGTATATTGATTCATAATAATGCCTAGTTTGACTTATTATGTGAGAAAGGTATTTATTGAACCCTTTCATGCACCCTGTAACGTGATAACACGATGAGCTTTCCACTGTAGTAACCGCTGTCCTTAAGAGGGTTAACCAGATGTGTATGATTGCATTGTTGCAAGTATAGGTAAATTATTTTGTCAGTCATTTTGATATGTATCCTTATGAAATCTAATTTTGTTAATTTTCAGCCTTATTATATTGATTATATATGACCTTGTTTATAGTTATTTACATGTACATGCATTGTGAGTGGCTGGCAACCAGTTCAAGATGTGCCCCACCGACTGCCCAGAGACAGCTGGGATAGGCTCCAGCACACCTGCAACGATCGTATGGAAAAGCGGTGCGGAAAACTGGATGGCTGGCACCCACAACACATGTCCACAGGGCACAGCATTTGTCTGCCTGCACCTCGATCAAATCCACCAAAACTGCATTACACCACCCGCGCCACAACTTAGACCTGCCTAAAGATCAATCTAGTTTCCGCCATCGAATTGCCAGGTGAGCCGAGGGCGTGTCATAGAAAATGCCCTTGTTCTGCCTGAATGCTCATGGTGGTCTGCCAAATTCCCAGAAACGCTAAAGGAGGCTTGCACCTGCATAAAAATCAGCATGCGCAAGTTTTGACACCCAAGCGCGAGTGCACTGTCTCCAAAAATAGTGCCTCACAAGTGATGAAATAATTGTCCAGATTTATGTACAAAGTATGAAAGATACATCTGGAACAACAAAAAGTCCGGTTGTATGAAAGTCCTCTAAACAGGACATGTGTCTCCAAGCGTTACTAATAACATTAATAATGGCTGCATCGCATTGAAATCATTACGATGGTTCACTGGCTTACTGGGTCACTAAAATGATTCGTTGTTGATGTCGCAGTTGTCAGTGACACTGGTGTGCATGTCCAAATGCGAATAGTCAAAATGTCTGCTGGCGACTTTCAAATTCCTATGTAAATGTGTGTACCATGATCAATCAGTTGACCTTATTTTTGTTGGAATAATTTTATTAAGCAGCTCTTGACTTCTTTTTACACTTATACCAATTGTCAATCAGAGTTACTGTGGGCTTTATTATGGCAACTAAATGAAACGTGATGAGGAAGAAAATAACATTTTTTTACATTTAATTTCATTGTTATGAATGTATGCTTTTTCTAAAATACAATATTATAGAGTGCTATATTTCATCCAAAAAAAAAAAAACACATTACAAGTGAATTCACTTGACATGATTTTCTCCCGTTTCTTTTAATGAGCACCACGGAACGGATTATCTTCGACGTTGGATGTCGCAGCGTAATGAATTGACCTTTTCAAATCAATAAGGTCCTCGCCCTGACAAATGTTCCGAGCTGCAGCTAACAAAGAAAACAAATTCAGGAGGTTCTGTTTGAGGTTTTCTAATAATAAACTGCGGTGCAGTTCATTCATGAATTGGACTGCTTTGACATAGTAGTAAGATTCCCATGTGGGATTGACTCTGTGCTGGCTTTGGAACCTCAAAGTCAGCCAGATTTTCATTTTTAGCCATTAACGGAAAGAAAGAAGCGTCATTCTGTGATGTAACATTTGTCCTCATTTTTCAATACGTCACATGAATAATGGAAAGGTGAGCTTTTTTTTTTTTCTCCCCAGGACCGAAATCTTTGTGAAAAGGTGTAATCACAAGGTAGGTTGACATCATTTCAGCCCCCTCGTGAGGCTCACAAACAGTGGCTTCGGTGCAAAAAGCCCATTTAGCGAGAGGAAGAAGCCCTGAGCGTTCCTCTCTGTTGGTTTGGCCTTTTGTGGCCGAGAAAGGGCTTTAAAAGGGACGTGTTGACACTTGAATGTCACCTTATTTAGGATTAGCCTCGCTCTTTTGGAATTGCTTTGGACACCCAGGGGAGAGCGTGCTGATGATAACCGTGGATGGCGCCATCGCAGCGGGGAGGCTCAGAGTGAAGCATTTATGCTAACATAAAAAGCTAAATATTCATATCATGAAAAAGAATCGGCCTGTGGCTGAAACGCAGTGGGGAAATGCTGGCATCATAGTAAAAATAAAAAGAAATTGATAATAAAAAGCAGTTGACCAAAAGAACGTTACAGTGCAAGAACAAGACGCAAGTTAATGAGGGGCGCGGCTTTGATCTGAAATTCAAGTGGGGCGGGGCTAGTGAAGTGAAGCTCAATTCAAATCTTGCTAGTTGTTTTAAAACTGCAAACTCACCCATTCCAGACATCATGAAGCACAAGCGTTTCGACGATGCAAATAAGCCGTGCGTTACTTTCTTTAAAATGCGCTAATCCAGTATTAGTCTGACTGGAGGAAATTGCTTGCCGTTTCATAATTAGCTTTTGCTTAGCCTTAACTAGATCCCGCAAAGCTAAATTAGATTGCACCTCTTCCCCATCTGTCTTCTGATAAAAACATCTTACAGTGTGCCGTCGTTTGTCACGTGAGGCGCGTGTGTTTATGTGCTTTTTTTGTGTGTGTGTGTGTGTGTGTGTGTGTGTGTGTGTGTGTGTGTGTGTGTGTGTGCGCGCGCGCGCGCGCGCGAAGCATCATCAAGAGGCACCAACCACCGCGCGTCGTCTGGTTCTCAACTTCTCTCCTCCTCGCCTGGCTGCAAGTCTCGCCGGCCCTCAGGTGCTGAGCAATGATGGCGCAGTCCGGATGAATGGCTTCCATCTGAAAACATGACACGAGACAGCCGCCGTCAGCGAGGCACGCGCTCACACACACACACACACACAACACAAATGGCTGCTATTTTACTCTGTGGCGTAAGAATGTGAAAAGTGACATTGTCACTCTCACTTCCTGTTGTGTCAAAATGAATTTTTGCTGTCTGATGAGTTTTTTAGGCACCACACCAGATGTTGCTATGGATGGACATTGTCTGATTGTCACATACTGTCAGTTGCAGCAAAGTGTCCCGCTTTGCTGGGTTCTGTGTGAAAGGCAAAGGCAGTTAAACTCATTGGCAGTTATACAACCATGCGTACTCTCTTGTGATAAGGGGGCTCAATGGTTTCCTTTGTGGACTGCGCTGCGCCACCCACCTGTGCGTCGATGTCATCCACAACGTTGGGACTGCCGCGAGAAGTTGAACACGTGATTCTCCTGCCTTGTGAAAGCAATTGTTGCTGTCCGAACATTAATTTATATGTCACACCGGATGTTTGTAAAGATGTCGTCTGATTATCGAACTGCGGGATGCAATGACAAAAGACAAGAGCAGCAATATCCCCGCCTTTGCTTGTTTCTGTCCAAAAGGCACATTCAGTTAAATTCTCTGCATGAAGGAGTTTTACACTCAATGGTGATCTGATCTCGGACACTGGCCAACGCCACTAGACCGCCGGTCTGATGTCATATGATTATCCGATTGCAGGATTCCGTTTACACAGTCACGGCAATATCCCGCCTTTGCTTGAGTACGTATAAAAAGCGTAGTCGGTTAAATTACGGACTTTCAGTAACGGCTGTGACATATCGATTAAGCGCGATCTCTTTCGTTCATCTTGTTGCGTTGAAAGCACTTGTTGCTGTCTGACAATTTTTTTTTTTTTTTTTTTTTTTGCATGACTGTCTTGGCAAAGCCCCTCCTGCTTGGGTCTGTATTCCAAGGAACTGTCAGGACCTTCTGATACCGCCCGATGTGACAATTTGGCAGACTCTTTGGAGGGCTCAATCGTCCGCGACCCCCTGTGACCTACGGTACGCCGCTGCAGTCAGCTTTGCATACAAATGTGTCAATCACTTTAAATATGAATCCAACTACACTACCTGAAGATGATCGAAGCCATTTTGAAATCCATCCAACTGTTCCCCCGGCTGATTAATTTCTTATAACATGACGTTACAACTGGCTGGTCACGCTGCCTAATGAACACTTATTAGCGTTACCAGCCTAATGATGACACGTGAGCTCCATGCGGTTAAAAATGGCAAACAATCATTAACGTGTCTGCAAATGAGAGATTCAATGACACTCACCGTGGGGACACAAAGACACAAGAAGAGGAGGAATTTCTCCCGATGTTTGGAAAATCTTTCTCGATTGGGCCTTTTGATATGTCTCATCGCGGTGGTGGTGATGATGGCGATAATTCCAGACGATTTGAATCCTGTGTATGTGTGCAAAAGCCCCGCTATGAAATATGCACTGTGTCAACCTAAAATAGATGACTGCCAGATGAAAACTTCTGAGTCTCGCCCCTTCACTCTCTCTCTTTTGCACTCCCCCCTCCTCCTCCTCCTCCTCCTCTCTCTCTCTCTCTCTCTCTCTGAGAATCAGGTGAAGGCGCATCTCGGGAGAGGCAACAAGGCTTCACGGCCCATTTAAAGACACGACGTGCTTCCTCATCGCTAAGAGGAGGCAATCGGTCACGCGTTAATGAATGTCAACGAGTGGCGGCGGGGGGCGTGCACGTCCCGGACAAATGCGTGCGCATGAGCAAATCGGCTTGATTTGATTGAGGTGACGGCTAACTCAATTACGTCCATTTAAAATGTCTGTGCCTCTCAATGGATTCCTGCAAATGTTCCGGCCTCATTAGGCCCGCGCTGCGCATCACTTGGCTATGTTGGCGTCATTGATTTGTTGATTTCTAACGTTCTTATTTGAGGGAGGCCTCTTGAGTGGATGACCCGGTCATCTAGACACCCGTCAATGTGATGTGATGTCGTCTTAATGGGTATTTTAAGCGCATTGGGTGCTTCTCAAGTCTGTCAAATTGGAAAAGTCATTTTCTGTGATGGCGTTTAGTTGTCTTCCATCGAAAAACCTACTGGTTGGAGTGAAGTTGAGTCGTTGAAAGCGAAATAAATCCTGACTTAGACTTAAAATCATCATACTGTAAGCTTATCCTTTCTACATCTGTAAGAATAGATCTTTTTGCCGGCCCGGTGGTCCAGTGGTTAGCGCGTCGACCTCACAGTGCAGAGGTCATGGGTTCAATTCTGGCTCTGGGCTTCCTGTGTGGAGTTTGCATGTTCTCCCCGTGGCTGTGTGGGTTTTCTCCGGGTACTCCGGTTTCCTCCCACATTCCAAAAAACATGCATGGCAGGCTGATTGAACACTCTAAATTGTCCCTAGGTGTGAGTGTGAGCGTGGATGGTTGTTCGTCTCTATGTGCCCTGCGATTGGTTAGCAACCAGTTCAGGGTGTCCCCCGCCTACTGCCCGAAGACGGATGGGATAGGCTCCAGCACCCCCCGCGACCCTTGTGAGGATAAAGCGGTTCAGAAAATGGATGGACGGATAGATCTTTTTGTTCTATTTGAGGGAGGCATTTACTTTTATGTAGACGACCCACATGGTGAAACATGTGTGTGTGTGATGCGTGGGAGGCGTCGAATTGTCCACAGTGGTGAACCCACCTGGTGAAATTCCTCGGTGTGACACAGAGTAGCTCTAATGAGCATTTTAAGTCTATGCTTTATGTCTGCGTAATATGTCAAAATGTTCTAATTGAGGGAGGCGTATGACTGTCCTTTGTGAATGACCCACCAGGCGAAATGCTTATCAGCATGATGCAGCGTACAGTGGTTCGAATGCGCGATGATGACGCTAGGTTACGAGAACACGACATTAATTAGCCCTCGGCTTGCCCACGGTAATGACTTACTGACAAACCGAGGTCATCTTGCAATTAGAGGGAGAGTCGCTCAAAACTCCTCGCTGTTGTTACGTCAGTTGTTTTCATCACACAAGATGATTTGCGGTGTCAAACCAGTTTGTGTCCCAGCATATTTAAAGCGCCACACAGGAGTAAAGTCAGGATTCATAATGTAAATATGACAACTAGCGGGCATGATTGAAGGCCCCAACCTTTGCAGAAGACGTACATAAATGCCTTTTTCCCCACCCTCGGAGTCGTGTAAACAACCTTGGGCGCATTCGATTTCGAAAGAGGTAAGAATAAGAACAAGCCAAGGTAGTCTGTGATGGCATATGCAATCAAAAAAAAAAAAAAGTCAAATGGCTATTAGTTGTTTAGGTGGCTCAGCTGTTTCTTAAAATGAACACCTTTAGGTAGCTCAAGCTGTCAAAGAAAGTTTGCCTGGCAGATTGAATACTATCAATAATGCTGGCTCAGTGGCTTGGAAAATGTACTTTCCTTTATGCCGGCCAAGCACAAAGTTGTTCAGTTTTTATTACCTCGACTAAGAACATAATGGAATGCATCGATGTGCGTTATTTATTTGGAAGTTGTTGCTGTGTTTTTTTTTTTTTGGGGGGGGGGTTTAGTCCTGCATTTTATTAACCTGAAGTTCTTTTAAAAATTATACACAATTATATCTAAAAAATAATTATGATTTGTATACTAAAAATACAAACTTATATAATAATTATGTATAATAAGAAGAATACCAATAATGTGTAATAATAAAAATAAAAACATTTTTAATTTTAAATAGGTTTTACATTTTGATTTCATGATTTATTTATTTCTGTGCAAATTCCTGACATTTTCGGGTGGGAACCACACAAAAGCGACGTCAACAAATAAAAATAAATAAATAGATAAAAGCGTTTTCACTTTATTTCATAAATCAATAACACAAATCTGACCTGTTGTTTCATACAAAACGTGTATGCACGGCCAAAGGCTGCAATTTCAAGACTAAATATAACAAACAATATTTAATGTGATCGTTTATTATGTTGTCTTTACAATATCTGGAGCTGTATCGTGGAGTTTACCGACGTTCGATTCTTCGAGAAAAAGCAACTTCTCGACCACAGACGTCAGTGCGTCCGTTGTCAAGGCAACGCAAAGGCTCGCGCCGCATACTCGTCTCTGATTGGCCTGTTCTCGCCAAGCAGCACGTTTTCCCGGAAGCCCTCAGATCTTCTCACTTTTGTTTCCCTTAATCGCTACAGTCGCACAACAATCTAAGATGTCCGGAGATAAACACGACTTTGAACACACTTTTTCCTTCCGTCCAGTTCCCTCCAGGAAGTTCTCGTTCTTGGAGGAAAAGGAGACCGTAGCTCTGTTGATGAAATGGTAAACTCTGAGACAAGTGGTCACGTCAAAAACATTTCGAAACATTTTTCTGTCGTCATTTTGCTGTGTCCTAATGGAAGTCTTCCAGTGGTCTTTCTTTCTTTTTTTCAGGTCCATGCTTGGAAGGCTCTCGGCGCAAACTTTCAGCTTTGACCAGAAATTTCACCTTTACGATAGCGACAGGTTTGCGCTGGTAAGACATGACGTCACACTCGTACAAGTTAATCAACAGTCCTGAAATATTGTTCCATTAATTTAGCAGTTTCCCCCCATAAATTTAAGTAAATATGAGCAAAATCAAGAATTTTGCAAATACATTTTATCACTTTCAGGGACAGCGGTGACTACAGTGGACAGCTTATCATGTTATCGAGTTACAGGATGCATGAAAGGGTTGAATAGATATTTTATGAAATAAATGTTTAATGACATGAATGATAATCAGCAATAATTCTATATTGCTTAATAAATCATAATTAAATCAGTTAACATACAGTATTTTAATTCTTCAAATTAGGGCTGCAAATATCGTTTTGATAATTGATTAATTTGTTGATTATTTTGTCGCTTAATCAATTAACTGGACTGAAAACATGTGTAGGGGTGTGTAGACTTTTTCTGTCTATATACGTAGCAGGGTATGGACTTGCCCGCTTAATGAAAATGAGAAAGGGCCAGACTAGAAATAATGTGTGCAATAAATGTCGATCCTTGGGGTGTTTTGACGAAGCAAGCCATAAACATATTATGAAGACACCTGGGAAGTGTTTCAAATTTGCTGTTCATTATTTGTGTGTCGTCGTCATCACTTTCTGTGCAGTGCTTCTTCACAGATTCTAGCGTGCTTTCCAGTGCAAGAACGACCGTTGCCTGGCAGTCTCTCGGTATGTCCTCTCATCTTAATGTCACTCAATCGCACTTTTTAGAGGTGTGATTTTCCTTTTCTTCACAGACAAACCAGTGACATCAGTCGATGTCGAGGTGGTACCGTGCACCAAGGTCTCAATGGACTTATTTGACCCCATCTACACTTGTGGCATTGTGGCGCCCTCTGGACACATCGCTAGATGCTTACACGAAGTCTACCCGGACTATGACAAACTCCGAGAGGTGAGGCTTCCGTTTTGTTTCACCGTTTTTTTATCGTCCACCCTCCAAACAGATGTTTCTGTGCGCATGCAGATGTTGCTGGATGAGGACTCGGAGAACTACCACATACTGGGGAGTGCCGAACGAGGGGAGTTGCTGTTTCGCCTCTTCAAGCACCTTTGCCTCGGAGGAGCGCTGAATCAGTACGAAGACACAGTCGAGCCTTATATCAGCGTCACCAAGAAAATGTACAAAGAGCTCATCAGGTACAAACGGTCTAAGCCAATTTTTTTTTTTTTTGCCCAAAATGAAAACATCTGTTTCCTGGTTAAACTAGCCACTCTAAAACTTTTATCAACTGAAAAAAATCATGTTTTTAAGGAGCCATATTATGCAATTTCACCACATTTTAAATGAAATCAGCCCATTTTAGGGGATGGCTCAGTCATATGCAGGTGACCAAATGCAAGCTGCGGCTACATACACGAGTATATGTAGTGAATATAATTAATAGATATGGATAAGCAGTTTCAGAAACATATACAGAACTATTGTTTGTCTTTGTTTTGTTTTTTTCTTGCAGTGTTCAAAAGGATCCAGAAACTAAAAAGATCAACGTGGTTTCCATGGTGCTCAAAGTCCGCGTCTGTGTAAGTATAGCATTGATTCGTTTTGATGGACACTGAAAGGGGCAACCAAGTTCTCTTCATCTATTCTGTGTTTTTCCCTTGTAGGATGAGTCGGGTCAGTGTTACCCCGGGGGACGGGACGAGGAGCAGACGTTTGCCTACCTGATCGTGGACCCCTTCAAACGCCACGTGACGCTACTCTGCCACTCTTATGGTGTTGGAACTATGTGTCTTTAATGGTGTAAATGATGTTGGAATACATTTAGCCCTTCAAAACACAGTGTAGACTCCATCTCGGGTCATAATGCCCGTGGACCGGCACACATCCTAAGCCATTAAAAAATAAAAAATAAAAAAAGTATTATGTACCATACAAAAGATGAATGAATCATACAACACAAAGCAAGCTTTAGGAGAGTGTAGCAAAAAGGCTGCATTGTTTTGTGTTTATTTTTGCCCTTTCGTGTTTTAATGTGGTGGCAGTGTGTTGAGTTCTAAAAGGTTACATATCCCCCCCCCCCCTCGTGGGTTGACTTGATAAGACTGTGCCCTTTCTTTTCAAACACAAGGTTAGCTAATGTGGGCACTCTGACAATATTGTCATACGTTGTCCATTTATTTTTCATCCAGCTCAATTCGATGATCTTTATTTGTTTCTTCTTCCATGTATGTTATCTGTTAATGACAGCCAATTGTCTAAACCTGTGAACTGAAAAAAATGTATGTATAAAGATAAACAAAAAAACAGCAATGAGTTATTCAGTATTAGCATTCCATGCGCATCACTTTTTTTCCTCCACATTTTATGTTGCAGCAAAAATAGAATAAATGATTTTTTTCCCCACCACATTCTACACACAGAGCCCCATAAAAAGCATGAAAAAAGTGGGGCGATGGTTCATTTTTCAGCAGAGCACTAATGCTGAGCCCACAGCCCAGACATCAAAGTTTCATATCGTGGCTTCATGTGCAAAAAGACTTGAGGCTGTAATTACTGCAAAATATGTGTATTTGTTTATTGACCAAAGGCTGTAAAAGCAGTGCTTGGGTATGTACATGTGATTTTTGATTATTAATATTATCCAACAGTTCCAAAACCCAACTTTTCCACGTTGAAATCAACAACGTGAAAAAGTTGCAACAAATAAAGTGTAGTTGGAACGCTTTTCGGATGCATTGTATGTCATACAGTGTATGACATACACTGTATGACACACACTGTATGTGATTGTCTTCTGCCCTCTATAGGGCAAGGGGCGACATAACAGTTCTAAAATACTGTACGTGGTTTAGACATGTCTCCCCGAAATACAAGGGTTAAGAATACAATCTGTGACCCCCCACAAAAAAATAAGCTAATTGAAGTAGTGATACTTGGTACTACTTTATTTATGTCACAAATCTGATTACAAAGATTTCCTTAAAAAGAGAGGCCAGAAACTGTATGTGTTCTCAAAGCATTCTGGGGAGTGTATGCTTTAAAAAATGGACCATACCACAATCGTAAATAATAATAAACATGACACGCGTGTATTATATTCGATATAGACATATAACTATGTTTTAAATCATGCAATAAACGCAACAAAGAACATTTAAATGAGGTATCAATTGACATTTTGGAAAAACTTCTACGTTGCCACCCCTCCACGCTCGACCAATAAAGGCGCCCGCTTGCACACTCGTCCTCTTCCGGTTGGATTACAGCCGAAACAGCACGCTCAGGGACTAGTCCAAAGGCTTAAAACGTCGAATAAAACAACCAGGTAAGCGTGGAAGCTTGCGTGTGTCCTGAAACTTGAACAAACGCGTACGGGTTCGAAAGCGAGCGAATGTGTGACATTTCTCCTCGTGGAAACGCCACGTGTTCAGTTGATGACCGAGTTCGCAGCTGTCAAAAACTTCTACTGAGTTGTCTCGTATCGAATAACGTCGATATGAGACACCGATATCGGTTACATGTGGGCTATCAACGACGATTGATGTCTGTAAATGTTTCTAATTTTCTTCCACCAAACACTTTGACAGTTTATAGAGACGATTGACACCGAGACAGCAACTGTTATTTCGATGCTACAAGTGTACCTAATAATTTGTTCATATGAAATGGTCTAAAAGTTAAACATGATTTGTATTCCCCATGTTGGCTGCTGGTCTCATTTCAGCAAAGGTGAGTGTTGGACTTGTGCCTGTTTTGTTTTTTATTTCGTTTTATTTTAAAAGTCACACATCCTGTGCCTGTTGAAATAATTGAGCTTTGTCAATTGACTTGCATGGAAAGAAAGCATCAACTGGTAAAACTGCTTGTAAATGAATCAGCATGTTATCTGTTTTTAAAATGCAAGCGGTATATGAAATTCCGTTTTTTTTTTTTTTTGGGACCTGATAATGTAAAATAATTGGGCGTGGAGCTGAACAAAATCGAAAATCACATACCTAATTACCTTAAAAAAATAATGACAAAACGAACTGCTTGCATTTCTGTTTTGCATTTCTGTTGCCTTTCCAGTACTGTAGCGGCATTAAAAGAGACATAGTAGCCCCTTTACACCTGCCCCCCCACCCCCACACACACACACCCCACACACAATTTAACATCCGTGAGGAGCTTTTGTCAAAGTATCCAAAGGATCAAGGCGTATAGTCCCTTTACACACAAATTTCCTTCGCTTGTTGAAATTAGCCAATGGGTCTATTGCAAGTTAGCAATTATATATCTGGCTTTCGATGACCACAGCTGCTTCTACTTGCAACAGCAGAGCGGCAGTAGTGGTGCTGTGTAAATTAGCCCCTCTATTACATAACAGTCCGGGCTCAATTACAGGCATATTTTCAGTAATAGATAAAACATAATTTAATTGTCAACTCCAGCCGATGGTTGGGCAGGCTTTCAATAGACCCAACTATTTGGATATAAATCATTAAAAGTACATTTTCTATAATACAGTATGTCCCCTTTTAAGAGATGCATTAACAGCAAAGTGTATGTGATGTATATTCAGGTGATTTATGTTATTTGATTTACTCCTGCTTGTGTGGTGCTAATTCAGCCTGTTTTTGTCTTATTGGGATTGTAATTGTTTTTTGTTTTAATTAGAGGGAGCAGACTAAATTGATTACTTTGGAATCATGTCTATTTGACTTTTATTTCTTTTAATTGTCCCTTCAGTTGGACCTCTTAATTGAGCACTGCTGGTGTGGTTTATTATTATGTCATAGTGCTTGTCAATCAAAAGAAGTTACAGTGAAACCTCTAAAGTCCAACATAGTCTGTGGGGAAAATTAAGGAGAGAAATTTTCCGTTTCAGAGTCAAACTGTCACCATCATAACTTAAAAACTCAACCCATGACATGTCAAGATGCCATTGGCTATGAGTTGATTTTTTTTTCTGATTTTAAACATTTTTGACTTCCTATTCAAGTATCAAAATACATTAATAGCTGTGTATGCAATGATTTAAAAGCATCATTTCAAAAACATTACTTGTGCGTCCTGACGGCTGGTGATTACTGTGTGTACTGAGCAGCCAGGATGAAGAAAGTGTAAATGCTACTTTTCTAGAGCCTGTTCATTGGCTATCATCACTTTTTTTTCTTTTTTTTTTAATGACGTCATTGTACCCATCTGTGGGGGAATCACTAAAAATCAATGAAAAAGCCAAACTAAACTTGTGTAATTCCAAGAAGTTACAAGATTCCTGGGTGGTCATTTTAAGTTTTATCCAACGTCAGAAGGGTTCAAATTTGGAGGTTCCACTGTAAATTGTAATTGTGAGCAATTGAGGAAAGACTTTAAAGTGTCATGTAATGTAAGATTGGTGCATTTGCTTTAATTGGGGGCCCTTTAAAGGGGAAGTCAACCCCAAATTTTTCTTCACGATAATAAGTTCCATGCAGCCCTACTCGTCTCAATGCAGCATTTTGATTAATATTGTTTGTGGAACATGAGTTAAGCAGTATAATCCACCCGTTTTTGTCCATCTCTGGGGGCGGCCATTTTGCCACTTGCTGTCGACTGAAAATGACATCGCAGGTGCTCAGGTAACAACCGGTCATAGCTCAGAAAAAAGGTGAGCCGTGATTGGTGGTTGCCTGAGCCCCGAGCAACTCTGACGTCATTTTCATTTGACAGAAAGTGGCAAAATGGCTGCCCTCTGAGATGGCGGAAAACGTTTGCCGCCTAACTCATATTACACAATATGAATCAAAATGCAGTGTTTTGACTCGTGGAGGCAAATAGAACATAATTATTGGAAAGAGAATTTTTGGACTGACTTCCCCCTTAAAACCAGCACAATGGCAGATATTTGAATGTTGAATGTTTTTCTGTTCATCCTGGAATGAGAGGAAGTCGTTTTTGGTCGAAATGAAGCTTTTTGATCAAGCATCACCTTTTGAGTCTACGTCAGTTTAAGGGGCTACTTGCACGAGGCCATTCATAGTGGACTCTCGCATGCTCTTAGTTCGGCACCCGCGGATTCATCTAATGATAATCCCCCAGTATTTTTTTATGTATGTTTTTTTTTTTCCAATTTGACTCACTCCTCTTGCCAGTTTGTCATAACAGCCACTTCGCGGAATAGAGAGAAACACACTGAAAAATAATTATGTCGCCATTTATTATAACGGATTTAAAAATCTGCACCAGCACGGTGGTAGACACAAGAGGAGAGGGAGGGGGGGGGGGCGCGACCACCAGCCCAGTTGAGCACAGTTTGAACGGCCTAGTGTCAGTGTGCCCAGGAAGTTGTTGTGTGAAGTTAAAGCAGAAAGCTGCCTTTTTTCCCACCCCCCCTCCCTAAGCGGGATGGATCAGTTGATGTCCGAGCAGGGAGCGGCGCCTAAGCCCGCCGCCACGCCAGAGAGGAGCATCATCAGCGGCGACAACCAACAATTCGTCAAGATGCGGCGCCACGCCCGCTTGTCCCAGTCGGAGAACCAGAGCTCGGGGCCCGAGGAAGAGCGCTTGGGCTCCTCCGCGGAGGCCGGCGGCTCCTACGGACGAAGCCCCGGCGTCCGCGGCGAGATCTTCAAGCCGCTGTCGTCCTCGCCGAGGAGCCCCAACACCAGGGGCCACTGGGCCAAACGGCACCAGCAGGACGGCGCCCACATCCCCACGGTCAAGTCGTCCGGCACGCCCCACCGGCGCTACAGCAGAGGCCGCTACCGCACCTCGTCGGAGACCGAGAAGGGCGGCCGAGGGAGCAGGGAGCCCAAGTCTCGGCGGAAGGGCCTGTCTGAGAGCGACAAAAGGTCGGGACGGGACAAGTATGACACACGAGGATTGGCGGAGATGTGTCGTGTACTACTTTTTTATCTGCCTTGCGCTGTCCTTTGGCCTCCATGTTGTCATTTAAAAAAAACTAGATCTATAATATGTCCCGGTATAAATCAAAGCGCAACAAACGTGGCTGCCTGATTCTTTGGATGTAACTTTCTGGCCTTTTGTGCGGTCATCCTGCTGAGTCGACAAGTCTGCGTCGCTGCCCGAGGAATGTGTTGATTTAACACGAGCAGGCCGTTTGTTTTCATTGTTGCATGTCATTTGTGTTTTTTTAATTTTTTTTTTCCAAGAGAAGCAGTCATTTCCTAATTGACTGCTTCTTTTGTGTGTGTGTCCGACACACTCACCAGTGACTTGCCTCCGAATATGTGCGTCATGAAGTGAGATCAAAATGAGCTCCGACAAAATGGTCTGCCTGACAGGAGAGAATGCATTTTTTGATTTTTATGGTGCACATGTGTTTTTGAGCAAGAGGCTCAATATATTCGAAACCGCTCTTTCTGATTCAACTTCACCCACAATAATAAACAAGCGGTCACGGGATTTAAATTTAGTGGAATGGATGCCAGCTTGGTGACAAAAGTGTCCCAAAGACGCGAGTGGCCATTTTGTGGGATGTCTGTGCAAATCTAGTCAGAACCTTTGCGTCACTGGTCACTGTGGCGCTGCCCGGTTGTGACGTCGGGAATGATTTCATCAAGAGTTTGAGGAAGAAATAGCGTTGAACATTTGACAGCTTGTTGCACTGCTTCATCCCTGAGGTGTTTCTAATGATTTGGTTGTTTTACCAAAATGGTCAAAGTATTAGAAACCTCCTGCACAGAAATAAAAGTGGCTGCATGGGAGCCATTTTGGGGCATTTCTGCTTGTCTTCAACTGTTTGGTTTTTTTTTCCCCTTCTTCTTTGACAGGTTTCTTTGTATTGTCTCTTATTCCATTGTGCATGTGATGTCATGCACGAATGGCGTGTGTGTGCGTGTGTGTGTGTGTTAGGGCTGCAAATCTTGACCCGTTTTTGTCTTCACGTCCTCAGCGCCAACATGAGTGGACTTGAGTGCCTCACTGCCGAGAAGGTCTGGTTCGACAAGCACCGTTACGACGAGGCCGAGAGGAAGTTCTACGAGGGTGCCAACGGAACCGCCCCCAAGCAGCAACAGGTGACTCCATTTAAATCGTTTACTTTTTAAATTCTTCACTCTTTCATTCCACAAGACGTACTTGTATGTCTTTTTAAAATTAGGCCGTACTTGTACGTCTAAGTCCTTTTTTTTTTTTTCGTCATAGAGCAGAGGAGGGCCTGATGCAATCTGTGAATGAGAATCAGGCGTTTGCATTGTAAATCATGTAAAAAAGCGACCAGTAGGTGGCAGTGGTGCCTCATGTGCTTGAAATGCATGCTTTTAAAAAAAAGCTCTTTTTCTCTGTTTTTTGCCCAGGAATCGCCATTTTCATGAAACTTAGCCATTTTGTAATGCCGATTGCTGAAGAATGGAGAAAGAACAAATTTTTTTTTTTTTTGCTGAAAGAAGAGAGTCCAAACTTTATTTTGGTAGGCTCCATGTTTATATAGCGTTAGAACCAAATATTCTGTGGGCCTTGCAAGATCAGTCAAAATCCAATAAAACGCTGGGATTGAGGGGGTTGCTCCAGTGAAAATGGCTGGGATTGAATGAGTTTGTGTGTGTGTGTG